TCGCGACCGCTGGCTCGCGCGGAGAGAGACGGGCCCCGTCAAGATCAGGTGCAAATGTCGAGATGAGATTGTGCCCTGGTCGGGCAAGACCGTGCCGCCACGCGTTGGACAGCTGCTCCGTCCACTCTCGCAGCGAGGCCAAGATCGTGGTATGCCACAGTGGATTGACGGTACTGATGTCGTCGCTGAAAGCCGGACCGTGGTGACGTGGCTCGTTCCGGGAGCCGCTCGCCGATGTACCGCTACCACCTCCACCAATACTATTGCCTGCGGACTCCCTTCGAATCGAAACGCGGCGGCTGCAGACACACCCACGTCGCAGAGAACTGCGCCAGACGTCGAAGATCCGTACTAAGCCGTGGATGACGAACTTGCCGAATTTCCGAGATGTGGCCACGTGGCTGCAACAGTTGATCATCAAGAGCCCGCTCCGTGATGAAGCTCATGGCGAGGACGGAGAGGAAAACAAAGGGCACGAGGGAGAGAGCGGAGAGAGAGTTAGATCGTCGTTGTTCTCCTCGCCTTCGGAGGAGGAAGAAGGGGGAAGATCAGAGGGAGGGAGAGGTCGGAGGTAGGAGGTATGTCAGACGATGGGGACAGAGCTATGGCTGGCACTAGCCTCGGGCGCGATGCGCACCGTGTTGGCGCCGTTGGATCCGAGCTCGACAACGCGAAAACAGCCAGAAAACTTGGGAGCGAGTTTCCGGTCGCGTGCACATTTACGTACCTGCACTACGTCCTCTAATTCATATTGATGTTGGGGCCCAACATTTCCATATCAAACCTCATAGCTACGGACCTGCCTACCGTGGGCCAGATCGGTCATCCTTGTCTTTTTCGGGCTAGCTTCGGGACGGCTCGTTCCATTAAATCGGTATACCTTTTGGCCTTGGCCTTGAGGGTGGCACGCGTGTCTCTGCCCCCTGCTTCGGCAATTTCCGAGTTACCCCGGTAGTCGACACAGGGGAGGCTATTAGTGCGAAGCTGAAAGGGGGTGAACCCCGTGGACTCATGAGGGGTGGCCCGATGAATTCCGACGATCTGATACACGATCTCGGGCCACGGACGCGTGTCATGTGCCGCTAAATTCCTGCGTAGGGCGGTTTTAATCATACGGTTGGCATTTTCGGCCAACCCGTTCGAATGAGACACGTGGGGTGCCGTATGTCGGAGCGTGATGCCCCTTCGCGCGAGCAGTTCCTCTACTTCGCCTTTGAATTCGGACCCATTGTCGGTCAGAATTTCTTCCGTATTTAGATGGGTATAGAGGAACCGATCGATGTACGAGGCTATTTCTGCGGCCTTGCGGGTCTTGCAGGGGTAGACTTCGATGTACTTGGAAAAATGATTTATTAATACTAAAAGGATAGAATATTCACAGCGGTTTGGGCCAGGTGGCACGTCAATATGTGTTGTGTCCATACTGACTCGTTGGAAGGGGCCTTCTACTTCCGTTGGTACTATCGTGTTCGGTCCACGTATTTGGGCGCGATCAGCGGCACAGACCAGACAGTTGGCGACAACGTATCTGACATCATCTCGTATATTGGACCAGAACCATCGGTTCTAGTTTATAGTTGCCTCCGTGACACGTATCGCAAAATGAGGGGCCTGCTCTTCGTGAGCAGATCGGGTCCAATCATATCTCTGGAATGGATGAGGAACTGTCAGCCACGAACCCGATCCGTCAGTTTTACGCTTCTCCAAATGACCGTTGATCCATCGATAGTCCCGAGATCTCTCGGTAGCCCTATGTCTGTTGTGTTTGGTGAGGTGACCCAATGATAATCCCGCTATTTTAGCTAGTAAAATTTTATCCGTCCAAACCTCCGCTCGACGGTATTTCTCATCATATTCAGGTCCGTCCGTTCGGGCGGCCTTGAATCGAACCTCTGTGGGAAGTTTGGCCGTTCTACACAGGGGGCACCTCCATTCCTTGCTACTCTTCCGATAGCGAACGCAGGCCCCGTGTGCACGATTGACACACGTGGCACATTCTACCCAATCGATAAACCCGGTTTCGAAAGGATGACAGTCAACCCCATAAACCCGTGCAATACATGTGCAAAAATAGCAGAATTTATCAGGGAGGGTGGCAAAGAAGGCGAAGGAGGTGAGAGGGGCAAAATTAATAGGAGAAGAGGGGGTCGCAGAGACGGGTGGGGTAGTCATGATGGCAGAGAGGGAGAGATTAGACTGAATTGCAGAGGGGGCAGAACAAAAAAATGGACCCCGTGTCACTTACTCCTTTGACAGGATCTCCACTTGGCCATACCGAGATCCGTTCTCCTTCTTCGGTTCGTTCCACGGAATCACCTCCTCATTCTTCGGAACCTTCTTAGGTCGGTGCAGTCGTGTCAATCCGTCCGCATTCCCGTGCCTTTCGTGTTTCTGGTAGCATGTATACAAGGAAAAGTCCTGGAAGCACCGATACTCTGACTTATCACTATTGTCCCAAATCTCATTGAAGTTCTTCGCCCTGTACCAACTAGATACTTCACCGGCTTTAATCGTAACACGACATCCCAGAAAGCTCCATTTGTTCTGCCCGTCGTTTGTTCTCTTCAGAGTCAGCTTAGGATCATAAGATCTTTCAAACTTTCTTATGATCTCCTCAGCTTTTCCCTGATTCTTTCTATCCCAACTTTGCCACACAAAGAGAGAAACATCATCAACCAGCCTAATACCCCTAACCAACACAACATCCTTCGCCAGAGATTTCGAAAACAAACTCTCATAGAAGGCACACAAAATACAAGCGATTGGGGGGCTACTCGACTTTCCCATCGGAATACCCTCCTTCTGTCTGATTAGCCTATCTGAGGCCCATAGGAACATGTTGTCCAAGTCAAAGCCTACCATCCTACGAATCATTTCGAAGGTGATTCTCACCCATCCAGTTCCCCTTTCTTACCTCCGAACGAGGCCCCTTTTCCTCTCGTTCTCACCATCACAAAGGATTTTCCCTTCTTCTTAAACAAGGACAGGATCCAATCGATCGCTTTCCTCACTGACTACTGCGGGAGCCTACTGAACATTTCTTTAATGTCGTAGGCGACCCCCTTCAACTCCCCTTTCTTCCTGCGTGTTGACCACTTGCTAACCTCCTCCAACCTTGACTTCATCTGATTTGTAGACTTCACGTTAAAATGGCAATTCTTCGGCAGAGAGAAGAGCAAGAAGTTCAAAGCTCTCGCAACTCTTCGATTCGCCACTCTTGCGGGCTCAGAAAACGAAGGAGATATTGGGCGGAACTTGGTTGTATCCTTATGTTTTGGGAGAACGTATGCCTTCCCCCACGTACCCTTGTTGTTCCACTTCCCTATCTCCTTCAAACCTTTTTTCTCATACTCGCTCTTCACCTTGGCCATCACTTGTTCTTCACTTCTCCAAACATGGACGAAAGTCGTATTATCCCAGAACGTCGTCCGCATACCTTCTTCATACAGAACGGGGCATACAACCAGCGTCTTCGTTGGGTTCTTATCCAACGGGCAGAACACTAGCCCTTTCCACTTCTGCTTCACTTCCTCTATCTCATCTATCAAACCTTCCTTCTTCATCCTTCTTCTTCGTATGCAGTCTCTTGCTTGCGGCAGCGTCCAGGTTGGTTCCAAACCCACTTTCATCATCTCATCATTCAATTCTCAACATAGCCTAACAGCCTCGTTGCCCCTATCGATTCCCTCGATCATATTTTTCGCATTCCAAATTATGAGATCAACCTCATCCCTGGAACTAAGGTGGAAAGCTACGTGTTCTCCCTGTCTAGGGAGCTGTAGGTCAGCATAGCTGCAGACCGTTGCCAATAGGCGACTGGATCGCCTATGATTATGAAGAAGATCTCCTACTGTCTGTTTTTTTCGCCAGACCAGTTGGAGCTTCGGACACCGTAGCTTCGCTTCAGCAGGCGATTGGCTTTGTTCCCCAATCTTCGATACAGTTAACCTCCTAATCTCGGCTCTGGATATCGGATCATCATGCTTCACACCTATCGTAATCCTTCTCCTAAAATTAACTCCAAATTTTATCTTCATGATCTTATCGATAATGTCCTTCAGGATCTTCCTCGAGCTCTTCCCGGTAACGCTCTTAATAGTCTGGTATAAGTCGATTAATTGGTCTAGCTGTAGGTAATCGAGTCTCTTTTTTTACCAAGGACATTTCAACATTGGTACAGTTGCTTTTTCAGCTTCGGATTCTCTGGCAAACGTTCCTAAGTTCTCCCAAAACACACTTCCCTTCCTTCTTCGAAGGCGCGCTTCGAGCTCTTCAGCGTACATCTTTTGTCATTGAAGAGCACATCGGATTCGCCGAACACCCTTTTTACCACGCTCCAATCCTCCAGCCATATTTTACCACCACTTGAAATGATCGTCCTCTCCTTCTTTCCTTTTATTGACTTAATCACTTCGGTCAACCTTCCCGAGCTCTTTCCCTTCTTCGCCTGAAACCGAAGCACTCTTTCATTGTCAAAGAATTGTCTCCTCTTCTTTTGCCTTTCCCTCCTTCAAGTTCCCTTTCTTTTACTCTTCTTCCTATTTCTCCCGTCCTTCCAACCGTTCACGTTAAGGGTCGGGCACCAACGCCTAATCAGCTTCGATTCCAACTTCTCCAACTCAGAGTTCTTGGTTACCGCCACCAGAATTGCTACATTGAACTCCCACCCCCATTTCCTTACCCACTGGTACAATTTATTCTTTTGAGTCACACATCCTCACTGAGTTCTACCCACGTGTTCCGACCACCTGTCACTCATTCGTATTTCCGTTTTGCCTACGTACGTCACACCAAGGATCCAAAAGAATATAGACACACGAATCAGGATCGTCTCACTTATCCCTTGCCTTTTCAAAAACTTCCCACATGCATTCGACATACTTACGCCCCCAGCTAATTTCGTTGTCCAAGATAAGGAGCAGAATAGCATTCCTAAGAATTCTCTCTACTAACGGTAACAGACTTCTACCCTTCCGGTTCAACTTACACCATCGTCGGATCTCGCAGAACTTCAATAGAATACCCCATTCTTCGGCCTTACATGTCTGGTTCACCCTGGGGATCCTGAGCTTCTTCCCTTATCTGTTCTTCATCTACTGGCCGGCTTGACCTAGAGCTTTCAGACTTCTTTCCTCGATAGCAATATGTAACACGCAATTCAGACAGGGTATCAATCGCATCGTTTACTCCGTAGAATGGCAACCCCGCCCCCTTGCACATCGCCTTCAATGTTTCGGGGTAAAATGAGCCGATCGTCTTCCGCACCGCTTTCCGGTACGCAGCTTTAGTCGCAAACTTCTCTCCCATGGGCACACCTTCCCATGGATCTTCTCCCTTCGCTATTCTCGTAGTCTGAGCATCTGCTTTTGTAGGTCTCCCTCGCCCCTTACGCTTCTGACTTGCAGGGATCTCCACACCCTCCTTCCTTCCTTGTTTCTTCGGCGTTTCGACTGGAGGGCTATTTTGCACAGCTCCTGTAGAGTCTTGTCGCTTCCTTTTGTCCTTCAATGGGGTCGCTTCTTCCTCAGTTTCATCTTCCTCGGCTTCTTCATCACTCGATGGCGGTGTTTCGATAACCTTCCCTTTCTTCTTCTTTCCGATGGTAATGCCCTTCATCTTCTCGCTTAGCCCAACCAACTTCGCCAACTTCAGCTCGTACTCTTCTGCTTGCTTGGCCAGGATCTTCTTCAGCTCCCACTGTCTCTTTTTCTCTTTATCTTCCTTTGCGAGCTTCTTCTCCAGCGCAATCCTGGTTTCTTCTTCTTTCGCGGCCTTCTCTTCCTCCTCCTTCCTTGCCTTAGCCTCGGCAGCTTGATTCGCTTCCTCCGCTTCTCTTTGTTTATCTAGCAATTGTTTGGCCATCCTTCCCACCGAGCTCAATCAGTCCTCAAGCTCTCTACTAAGCGAGAGAGTACTTCCACTCCCTGCATACCGCGCCTGCAGTTGGGGGCACTGACTTTTATAGTGCCCGAGCTCCCCGCATTCGTAATATTTGACTTGTCGTTGCACTTCACTTCTTCTCCTTTGGTCATCAGCAGAGTATCCACGTCTATCGTCATATCGACGCTCACCATCTCTTTCTCTTTCTCTCCTATCATCCCCACTCTCCCATCCTCCACTCTCATACCCCTTGTACCTCTCGTGTCTCCCCCACGACTCACTCCTTCTGCTCCCCATGTCGTGGTTTCGGTCCGACAGCGGTCACCGTTGACCCCAGCGTACGCTCTCCTCTTAGCTCGTTCTTAACAGTGACGTCCTTCGCTCACACATTCGATGGAGCACATTCGAGCCTCCTGTAGCATAACTGTGCAGTCGCCTTGATTACTGTAGTCAGGTCCTCGCTAACACCAAAATTTCGAGTAGCATCTCTCGACTGGTTATAGCGCTCGAGGCAAGTGAGTACGGTGCAGCACAAACAGCATGCATGCAGCAGAATTGTCCACATTTCATGAATATAGTGAAAGAAACCCTTTCGTCAACATCAAAACGTGAAGGCGATGTACTTTGAAAATGCCGACAAAAACAAGTCGCGTGAAAGTACTGTGGCACTCCAAAGCACACACACGCGCGAGGAACGAATGCCCTACACACGCATTGTGCCGGGCCGCCGGGATGGCGGTCCGACAGGATGGAAGAGAAGGGTGGACGAAGGAGGAAATAGAGATGGAGCTGGAAGGGACAGCGCAGCTCCGACGCAGACTCCACACGCACGTACTCCAAGATCTGCGAAATTGAAGAATGACAAAAAACAGACAACTGCTGGGGTATACCCCCATCGGACTGACTGAATGGACTGGACTGTCCTGGTACCGACAGTGGTACCCGGCAGGACGGGACTGGACTGAAACAGTGCACGGCCTGTGGGGTCAGGCCACGGCCTGGTCCCACAGGCCGAACCGGCAAATAGCCAAATAGGCCCTGGCTGTAGGCCAGGGCAGATGAACGCCCGCTGCACGATCCTCAGACCTGTCATGGATCGCAACAACCATAAACACGCTATCCGCAAAAGCAGCGGAACTCTGCAATAAAGAAAGCTGAGAAATCTAGGATGAGGAGCAAGCTTCATGCGGAGTCCATGCGATGCATCCTAAGCTACATAAAATCAAAAGAAAAGCAAATGTCTGGTATACATATCCTAGCTAACAGCAAAAAATGAAATGTAGTATGATACAATCCTAAAGTCCAGGAGGCAGCGGCCTCAGTGCTGAAAGGAAAAGAGCAATATGTCACAAGATAATGTCATGTCGCTGAACCACTAAGAGTGGGATGGTCTCAGAGGGGTTGAATGCAAACCTAAGAATCGTAAGGGCAGTCACCTACGAATCCCCCTCGGCGGCGGCCATCCGCGGACAAGTCCGCGGCCGCGGCCTAGGCCGCGACCCCGCGGACGTGTCCACGGTCCGCGGCCATGAAAAAAAAAAAAAAAAAAAATAAAAATAAAAAATTCTGGAAAAAAC